TCCATATGTCGGATCACTGATCGAGTTTGTGGCATCTCAGAGTCGTTTCCTCATCGCGTCATGCTCGATAATCGTGTATGTCAACCGCTGAGTCAAGTTCCGTTCCCCGACCTTTCGTGGCCGGTGTGATATTGCGTCAGCGGAAGGACGAACTGCTGCAACACAGGTGTGACGTCATCACACCGGCCACGCCTCCTGTTAGGCCATGGTCCGATTAGTCGATGTTCAGTCGGCCCACGTCGATGGCGAACTTCAAAGGGCAGCCGTGCACCATCTGTTGCCTTCCCCATGCGACTGTACCAGTCACAAATGAACGAGGGAGCACAAAACCAATTTGTTTGCTGCTAAAGCGAGTTTATTGGTTATAATTGCTCTTTGAACAGATATTACAAAAGAGAAGCACATTATGCAATTTTGATATTACCTAAATCTGTCCTTTTTGTGCCCCGAAAGCATTCCTATCATATCTTATCGAGTCTTTCATATCACGTCATATCATATTTTAATCACGTTTTAATCATATTTTAATCACGTCATATCATATCTTGCCCTATCTCTGCCCCTTCCTCCTCTCTCTCTCTCTCTCTCTCTCTCTCTCTCTCTCTCTCTCTCTCTCTCTCTCTCTCTCTTCCTCCCTCCCTCCTTTTCGCTCTCTCGCTCTCGCTCTCTCTCTCTCTCTCTCTCTCTCTCTCTCTCTCTCTCTCTCTCTCTCTCTCTCTCTCTCTCTCTCTCTCTCTCTCTCTCTTACTCTCTATCTCTCTCCTTCCCTCCCTCTTCCTCCTCTGCGCGTGAGGCGTACGGGAGCAAGATGCAGAGCAGGCTCATAGACCTCTCTCTGGTTATTCACGCGTGCATGGATCGAACACCGGTGGGGGAGACACCAGGACCCTCAGTAAACAGGGGTGGAAGCAGGGAATCAGTGGACAGGGGCTGGAGCGGCAGCGGGCGACCGGCGACAGTCGGCGCGGCGGCGGTAGTGGGGCGATGACCGTCGGCTGCGGCGGGGGCGGGGGCGGGGGCGGGGGCGGCCGAACGAAGACCAGGCGGCGGCAGCTGGGGAGGGGTGCGCCGGGCCGAGGCGGAACGAAAGCGACAGTCAGTGTGCGTGTTAACATCGATCGGCTGAGTCCGAACTCGGTCAGTGGTGCTGCGGTTTGCAGGCCGACGCGGCGCGGTCACCACGGCCGCCGGGTGCAGACTGGTGCAGTGGCCAGTGACCGGCGCTGACCGGTGACCGGTGACCCCGGTCCCGCCAGGTCACCTGACACGGGTGTGCTGTCACCGTGACTGTGCCGTCCGTGACAGGCGGCAGGGCGTCACGACATTCCAGAGACCGGGTCGGCCGGCAGGTCGTGTCTGTCGGTCGTTATGCCGGTACCGCAGAGGTCAGCAGGGGCTCCGTATCACCGGACCGGGCTGGGGCTCCGATGGCCCCGTGTGATAGCAGCCAATGGCATGCAATTTGCCGCGTCGGCTCATCACTTTTGTACATATGATACCGGCTGGCGTATATAAAGGTCACCGCTTTCGTTTCATCATTTCGGCACCCCTTTCATCATGCTATGGAATTGGTTAGTTGCGGGTAAGTAATGGGCGTATTCCTAGCCAGGGAACATTTGCTTGTTTATGTACATAGCTTATGACATTTGTATAAGTTATATATGAGGAACCTGACGTTGCACTGCCCATGTAAATGGGCCTAGTCAATGTATCAAAAGACCAACTATTAATCACGGAAATGGCAAAGTGGAGACATCGGTGCTGATTGATGCTCCTCCGTATGCAACAAGTGTCGAGAAAAGCCGTTACGCTACGAATGAAAGGGAAGGAATTTCCCCGGCACCGGACTTTGCACCGCCAATTTTACCGCCAGACCATAAGTCACCCTATATTAGACGGAAATAGATTTGCTGTCAGACGGCAGAGCAGCCGTGTAGATCCAGACAAATGTCATACGCGTGTGTGCCGTACGGATTATTATTTCTCTAAATCAATTATGCGAAGTGCGTAATAAATTTATTCATTAAACGTGATCGTAAAATGTACTTTGACCTGTGTAATTTGCAGTTCCAATTCATACATAAAGAGAAAAATACTTCTTCAGGAATAGCATGAAAAAAAGACAATGTCCGCTTTAGATGTGAATCGATATGATAACGTGACCGCAAAAACTTGCTCATGCTAGCGTAAGTTTAACACTGTCTTATGCTCAAATTAGTCCGATCATGCCCCAAACTTTGTCCATATATTACAACCTTCTTTGGAAGCTGTTTCCGAGAGGCAGACATATATCTCATCTCCGTCACAAGCACGAGTGACTGATATGGAAGCTTATTCTTGGGGAAATGGCTGATATCAGCCCTCATGTAACATTTCTCAGATACTTTCTCAGAAGATCTGAAAACTAACAGAAACAGTGGTTCTGTTATTAAATGTTAATGGTGCTAGCGTTTAACCCTATTAGTGGCAGGGGGGGGGGGGGTTATTTTTATCCACCCCTCAGGTTTTTCGGGAATATCTCCGAAACCGCTGAAGCTACGATGCTGAAATTTTCTGACTTTTCCTAAAACTAAATTGGGCACATTCCCTAAAAATTTCAAGTTCATAACTTTACCAGGGGCGGCTCCAGAGCACTGGGAATTGGGGAGTCCTATTCGTGAAGCGAGTCGGGGGGGGGGCTGTTTACGACCCCCCTTGATATCTCGAGATCTAACGGGCCGATTTTCAAAATTCAAACGGCATTCGATTTCGCTCAACGAGATCTACATTTCTAAAAAAAAATTAAAAATGTCAATAGGGGGCAGAGGGGGGTAAAAACGGGCAAATTGCAGATACATTTTATACTGTTTATCACGGCCAGGTTTCTGAACCAATCTTAACGCAACTTTTGCCGATCGATAGAGAATAAACCAGGAATTCACATGGGTCCTAAAAATATGCATTTTCAAAAATCATAGGTGGATACAGATCATTGAGATTGGGGGTACACAAAAAGTATAGTAAATAAGGTTTTTGTAGGTACTGTTTCTAAAAAGGGTGGCAATGGTCTTGTTATGTTACAATTTTCTTATGAGAGAACGACTAAAATTGTATTGGTCATGCATAGGCGGTGTCAGGGCACCTATGTTGGGAGGTAAAAAATAACCCCCCTTTTTGGACGCCTGGATCCGCCTGTTATAGCAAAAATGTGTCAAAAGAGGATGCACAATAACTTTGTATATGTTATCACATGATACCTTTCATTCACTGTTCGTAAAACTGGTGCAGCATCGTGATCTTCGCCGCCCCCCCTGCCACTAATAGGGGTAGCCAGGAGCCTGCCACTAATAGGGTTAAATGATCTATTTGTCTGACAGCTGTTTTTTACCAGCGCGCGGAAAAAAACGATTCAGAAGCCATACGACAGACATTAGACAGCGCATTTCTTTGTCACAACACTGAGTAATGAATAATTCATTGAATGCATAAGCCAAGCCAATGTATACACATTGCCCAAAGTATGTAAACAGTCAACAGTTCGTAACAAGGCAGTTCGTTCTTTCTGATTTTCATCCATTTATTGTTGTTTGTTTCTTGCCATGGAATAAATGTAATAAGGCTATTGACAATACTTTTTTAGGCTCGTTCTTGCACCGTTCTGGCATTTCTGGCCTTCACTGGACAGTAAAATGACGTCCTTCCACCACCCTAAAAGAAAGAGAAACTTAAACTTTTTGAGTCCACCTTACCATCTTATCCTCTATTAACCCTCGCCGGCCGAGGGGGGGGGGGCGGGTGCCGCCCCCCCCCATAGGGTTTTTTCGCGATAGCTCCGAACACGCTGGCGATAGAGAGCTGAGACTTGGCATACCTGACCTTTGATCCAAGCCGCATCTTTTGACACCAACCGCATTTTTGGGTCAGGTCAGGTCACTGACCTATGACGTCATAAGTGAACCTCTGCACGGTCTTCAGATGTCGCAACTTCGCAACGCCCTCACTGCCAGAGGAGATGTCACAGGGAAATGAAACTTGCAGGATCTAGTATCCATTATGAGTCCCACAACTTGTATATCTCGGATTTTTCCTAAAGGTCATATGAGGTCAGGTCATTTTCGTGACCTCACCATTTTAAGTCAATGGGGAAAAATGAAAACTGCTATTCTGGCGCCGGGAACGATTTCCAACTATCTCAAGCACACGGAATCGTGATTTTATGCACTCCTTGCAAGGTTAGATGCGTCACTTTTGCAATGTTGACCTTGCGTGACGTCATTTATGACGTCATCAAGGTCATATTAGTTTTTCGTCAATAACTCTTGATCAAATTGAGCTAGCGAGTCGGGAAAGGCACCAATGGACTCAGGAAGACCTGCCGAATCGAATGATATGCGACATGACCCCTTTCGACCAACTTCGTGACCTGGGGGTGCTGACCTGACCTTGACCTGAGGTCAACACCCCAAGTTGACCTAACCCGGACAAAAAGTATATCATTCGACGCGCCTGAGCGAGACGAACACGATGCTACCAAAATCGGCGCTCTGCGGCCGTTTTTTGCGAAGTTATTCACCAAAAACTGAACCGTACCTTGGGGCACTTGACCTGACCTCAGAGGTCACCGGTTGACCTAGGACCTTAAAATCGGGTACCAATCTCTGCGTCTCGTAACGGCGCACACGCTCGTTTTTTCCGCGACGCGCTAGCTCCACCAGGGGCGAAACGGCGAGGGGGGGTCGTACCCGCCCCCCCCCCCCCTCGGCCGGCGCGTATGCAGAAAACCAATAGGTCCGGCGAGGGTTAATCCCTTCTGTAACTTTCATCGAATATCGGCTGTTTTTTTTCTGACTGGAGCCACTGACGTCCATCACACGTGTTTTGATGCGGGTGTAAGCGACTGCGATCACCAGGGAAGGGGAGCATTGCGTGCGGGCTATCTACTCAAGTAGCGTGTTTTCCAACGTGCTCGGCGGGCGAGCCGCCCTCCTGACCAGCACTCTGTGTGTTCCTGTCTCCCGCAGCGATGAGGAGACCACCATCGCCCGGCTGAACCCGCACGTGCGGGAGATGACCTCCGACATCCTGTACCACCTGGCTCTCGGCTCCGGCTCGCACGACCTGCACGCCATGTTCGGCGACGTCAAGGTGATCTGTGGGACCGCATCCATCGACCACACGGCGCGCCGCCGCGCTAGCAGCGCAAGGAGACGGGAGACGGGACATCGTCACGTGGCGCCCGGAGAACCGGGACGTAACAGCTGTTGGATGGCCTGTGTTAGCTTTTGCCACCCATCCAACTTTGAACTTAACCGCTCTGAAATATGCTACTAAAAGTTTTTGAACCATCCTGTTGTCTGCATTTTCATTTATCTTCAAACAAAGCAAAGCATTAAAGCTTTTAAAACTAAATGTTTTCTTTCAACTAACTTTAAAACAAATTCTATTTGCCAAGCAAAAATAGCTGTTTCATTTAGCTGAAAGCTTGAACATCTGTACAGCTACTACTTATGAAAGCATTCCAATTTACTTGTGTCGTCAGTTCGTCTGCATGGGCGGCACTCCGCGACGGATGGAGCAGTTTGCGCACTTTATCATGAAGGAGATCGGCTACCAGCTGCCCACCGGCGCCCAGCTGCTCGACATCTCGCTACACTCGTACAGATACTCCATGTTCAAAGTCGGACCGGTGCTCTCAGTCAGCGTAAGCGGCAGCGATCGCGTGGGCTGAGCTAAATGGGGGAAACGGTGTGCTCTTTGTTGTCTAATTTTATCTCGCAAGTTCCTTTGTAGATGAACTGAATAGAGTCCGTTTTCTAAACGTCATACGAAGATCTCTGAATAATCACGTTACTAATTTCCGTAAAAGGTTTCTAAATTTAGAATTGAAACGAAGCAACAATTATCGCGGAACTTTATTTAATCGCTCAAGTTATTTGTCACAGATGTTTCGTTTAACTTTCTGAAAAACACATGTTTATCAGCCGAAAACTGGCGCTCGAAAAACCGCGGCATGACGGGTTACTTATATCGCCGGCAGCATGGTATGGGCATGCCGTCTGTGGGCATCCTACTACACGAGATGATCAAGCTGATGTACCACGCCCGGGTGAAGAACCCCACGTTCTTCCGTCTGGGCACGTGCGGCGGCATCGGCATCGACGGCGGCAACCTGGTCATCACGGAGAGCGCCGTCGACGGCCTGATGAACCCCTACCTGGAGCAGGTGCGGCTTAGCGGTCGTGCCAATCGCTCTGACTTGCGGGCTGTAGGCAGGCATAGCATCGCTTGGTCATCCCTTCGTGATAATGGACGTTGACAAAATGAAAAAGCATGTACGCGGGAACGCCCGAGGTTGGTGATTCGGCTGAGAATGTCTTTACGCTTCTTACGTAGTGTGTATGCTAGTGTACGAGTATGACCGACAAGTGCGTTCACCAGGCAATCCTGGGAGAGATCCAGAAGCGTCCTGGTCTCCTGGACCCCGAGCTGGCTGCCGAACTGAAGGCACTTTCCACCCCTGAAGACCCGTGGCAGATCTACTCAGGGAAGACGATGTGCACAACAGATTTCTACGAAGGTAACACGGATCTCGTTCTAGTATTGTGTTGCGTCTTGCAACCTACTTATCTTGTAATTGAACGGCTCCGTTTGAGCGGGAAACTTGCATGCGCTTGAGAAAACATGAAAGATGTCGTGCTATTTATGGTGCGATTGTGTTATAATGCATCTACAATTGATCACGCCCAGGTCAGGGCCGGCTGGACGGCGCCTTCTGCGACTACACTGAGGAGGACAAGTTTGACTTTCTGCGTAAGATCCACGCCGAGGGCATCATCAACATGGAGATGGAGTCTCTGATGTTCGCCGCGCTGTGTCACCACGCCGGCATCCGCGGAGCCGTCATCTGCGTCACCCTGCTCAACAGGATGAAGGGCGATCAGGTGAGGATGCTGACCGCCTTACTTCAATCTGGTATATGTTAATTCAATGCCTTTGGTATGATGACTATTGACTAACCTTGACTAGCTCGGTTCTGACGCTAATCGGTCGCGGTTTTCAGGTGACTGCCGAGAAGTCCCAGCAGATGGAGTGGCAAGAATACCCTCAGCGGCTGGTGGCGCGCTACATTCGCCAGCAGCTGGAGGCGGCCGATGGGGTCGGCTCGGGGGCCGGCGGTCTGATCCGCTCGCTCTCACAGCTGCACCTGACCAGACAGACGTCTGAGCAGTTCGCCAGCTCCGAGTAGGAGCCGTGCCGCCGAACAGCCGCACAGCGCCGCCGAACTCAGTGTCACCCTCGACCGGACCGCCACCGCTGTCGCCGTCCGTCGCTTCAGCTGCAGCACTGAATTCAGTTACCGATATTCCGAGCAGCGAGCAGTAGCTGTCGCTATAACCACGCGCCATATAACCTCCCGCCAGTGTACTGCACCTGTGATCTCAGTGGCGATATACGGCCAAGTCTATAACGCGGGGCCAGAGAAAACCTATAAGGCATTCCATAAGAATCCAATCTGTGATCGGTTGGGATCGGGTCGTTCCTCGAAATGAGCTTCTTAGTGTAAGGTATAGATAGGTCGGTTAGACCAGATGACTGCCATCTTACTAGTCTGATGATCTCGATAAATTTCCGTGTAATTCTAGTCATGTGATCTGTTATTGTTTTGCTTGTTTTGTGTTTGAGCCTATACGTAAACTCTATTCAGCTTTAGCGCACAATAGACCTGCCCATTCGGTAGGGTAGCAATCGTTTTATCTCATTCAGGAATATGAATCGTTGATATACAACTAACTATAAGCACACTTCGTGCGAGGTCGTTAGTGAAAACACGGGTGACATGGCGGAGACCAGGAAGGGCTGGTTGTTGTATTGTTGTGACCTAAAGCTGGATTGGTGTGAGTGCTTGTTGTCATGCTGACATCCACTCTGTCTTCTTGTGGTGACTTCTGAAGCGGGTTGGTTGAAAGGTCAAGTGTCGAAACAGCTCAGCGAATGAAATAATTGGACGCACTGTGTGTGTCAAAATGAATTGTTCGCATTCCAATCAAAACTAAGTCTATTTTGCTATCTCGATGCTTAGCTAGTGAGTGCTTGAGTAAGAAACTGGTGGACTGTATCTATCCAGGTTAGTGAGCCATTAAACATCCAAGCAAAGTGGCGCAGATCCTCAGAGTTGGTATACGGCAGATCAATAAATCAAAAGCTCGTTGCTTTGCAAGTGCACAAGAGTAGACAGTTTTGCCATGTGTAGCTTCACTGCTGTAGACCAATGGCCATCAAAAATATAATAAACATGCCTCAGCCAACGCTACTGGGTGTGTTGTATGGTCAAAAGTTAAGAAACAGGGTTCATTTCATTGTGGTATTGAATCAGTAGTCCACGAACTGTTTGCGCGTGTATACCTCGGGACTGGGGCGAAGCTTTAATTGTTTGAACAGACTCGGTTCAAATGCATTGATTTATATAGGGGCTCCATTTTAACTTGCAACTACTTAGTTTGCCAGTAGGCCTACTAAAAGCCTGCAAGTTATTGAGAGGTCAGCCCCATTCCTGTAGTCGTTAAGAACTAATGCCACTTGGATGGGCTAGGTTGGCACCAATATCTGGAGCTTAGTGTGCTATAATCTGGTCACGTCAGCCGCCATAGCCTTCGCAGGGGTGTTTGTAATGCATACCGCCGTCGTTATTAACAGCATAACTCGCGATCATGGGTGAGGCAAGACACATGCCAATTGTCCTAGAAATGATGAGCTTTCTTCACGAGTTTCAGGGCTTTTAGACCTTGCGGTCATATGGTGGTAGTTATTGATCGAGCTGAAAGAGGTCAAAGTCTTGCATTTTAGGTAAAATAATGAGAAAAAGAGCAATGCTGAGTTTCATTCATATTAAATTTTCATTCACACACTCTGAAGCTACTATATTTTTCATGTTTCGCAGACTCCCGGGCACAGTCGTCTGTGTATTATTGCATGGACACACGATTGAATAACAAGCCAATGCCGTATCGCCCCGTGCCCGTGTGAGGGCAGTACAAATGTGACGTCGCCGGCGCGCCGGGGTCGGTCGGCCGGCAGCGGCCGCCTCCCGGGTACCTGCACTGATTGCACTCGCCCGCCGGGGTACCGGCGCCCAGCACCCGGCCGGAAACAGGTGTACATTGTACACAACGCAGTCGCCTGGATCGGTAACACAGACGGGGAGAGACTAAAAAAGACGGGAGCGTGCTGGCCGCCGTCGGCCAGCGCTCCGAAAGGACATAGTTCAATCTCACCGGGCCGGCCGTGTCAGGGGCGAGCTGCACCGGCGCTTGGTCTCCAAGGATTTGGTACAATGTTACTTGCACGCCGTGGAAGAACACTGGAGCAGTGAGCTATGTACAGATGCAAGAACACTAGCGCTAAACCCATCTGAAAAACAAACAAGGGGGCAGCGTACAACACAAATCAAAGACATGGTGTTGGAAGACACCCGTTCTCTGTGACAAAGGAGCCCGGACGCTGACGGAAGCCAAACAGCCGTCCGGGGCCGCAGCCAGCTGCCTGGGAAGACCCAACAACAAATGTCCTGTCCGCATCGACAAATGGACAGTCTAGACAGAGCCCCGAAATAAAGTGCCGCTCAATACTGTCTCACACATCAATCAATGAACTTCCGGGTAAGGGAAAGGAGACGGGGATCAAGGGTCGGAGGACGATCACTTAGAACAAATAGGTACGCGTCAATGACAAAACTGTGAAAACTTTGATTTCAGCACCAACAAAATTAGCTGCTATCCAAGTTACGCGTGTTACCACGAAAAACAATTTGCATAGTCACCTCTAAGCTGTAACTAACAAATAACGAAAAATATTGGCAGATGTTAACCCTATTAGTGGCAGGCTCCTGGCTACCCCATATTAGTGGCAGGGGGGGGGGCTGTTTAGACCCCCCCTTGATATCTCGAGATCTAACGGGCCGATTTTCAAAATTCAAACGGCATTCGATTTCGCTCAACGAGATCTACATTTCTAAAAAAAAAATTAAAAAATGTCAATAGGGGGTAAAGGGGGGGTAAAAACGGGCAAATTGCAGATACATTTTAGACTGTTTATCACGGCCAGGTTTCTGAACCAATCTTAACGCAACTTTTGCCGATCGATAGAGAATGAACCAGGAATTCACATGGATACTAAAAATATGCATTTTCAAAAATCATAGGCGGATACAGATCATTGAGATTGGGGGTACACAAAAAGTATAGTAAATAAGGTTTTTGTTGGTACTGTTTCTAAAAAGGGTGGCAATGGTCTTGTTATGTTACAATTTTCTCATGAGAGAACGACTAAAATTGTATTGGTCATGCATAGGCGGTGTCAGGGCACCTATGTTGGGAGGTAAAAAATAACCCCCCTTTTTGGACGCCTGGATCCGCCTATTATACCAAAAACGTGTCAAAAGAGGATGCACAATAACTTTGTATATGTTATCACATGATACCTTTCATTCACTGTTCGTAAAACTGGTGCAGCATCGTGATCTTCGCCCAAATGACGCTTCACGAATAGGACCCCCCAATTCCCAGTGCTCTGGAGCCGCCCCTGGTAAAGTTATGAACTTGAAATTTTCAGGGAATGTGCCCAATTTAGTTTTAGGAAAAGTCAGAAAATTTCAGCATCGTAGCTTCAGCGGTTTCGGAGATATTCCCGAAAAACCTGAGGGGTGGATAAAAACACCCCCCCCTGCCACTAATAGGGTTAAGGAGAAGCGCGAATTTCTTCGAAAGAAGTCCCAATAGCATTTTTTGCGTGAATTCTATTCAGATTCACAAATTGGACACGTTACACCTTTTATAAAATTCGCAATATCGCTAATTCCAAACAAGGCTTAGTGAATAGGCAATAAGAAGCATAGTTTATTTAACGATCTAAATGTTGAAACTAGCTCATTTTTCAGGACAGATAGCCCACCGATTACGGTGTCAATGGTCTGATTTTCTGAAATGAGCGCTTGTACGTAATTTGAAAGAGGCAGTGAAACGCTCGTCTCAGATATTTAAGCATCAGAATTAGTTTATGGGTCATGACACTTTATGTTCAAGTACCACTGCATAAGACAACGTTTTCCTCAGCAGGTATTGCTATTGTATAGCAACAAAATGTGAATTTAGTTTCAGAATTTGTTTGTAGGGGGTTTCTTGTCGCGCTGATATCGTGTAGCAAAAAAGTTGAAAATAAGATGTGCTTGTCAGAGCACTTGTCCAGCTCTGTCTAGTGAATCCAGTACGTGAACCAAGAAACAACCACACCTGGGGTCGACAATCAAAAACAACGTAGGGTAAATATTGCCCCGGCAAAAACAAAATGCACCATATGCCTCGAAACTGATTTCAACACCCAACGCACCACGTTCCTTTCACTTCCTGTCTTCACGGCGTCTGGTGCCAGCACAATGATACAAAATGGATGAGTGCCCCGGCCGCCCAGCAGCTCCTTACCGCACCACAACACGTCGGGCCGCCGTGGCAGCCCGCACCCCTCACACAGACATCGCACTCTCGTAAATGTATGTAGGTCTTCACTAGACCGGCTCCAACAAACGACTGGTCTCGGCTCTGACCGCAGCTGGCTGACGGAGGCTCGAAACGGCCCGTTCGCACGGAACAGGCGCGAAATTTACAGCCAGCCTGTTCGGCGGCTGATGGTGGGTGACCCTGTCTGCCGGCTCATCTGCAGCCCGATTTATACTTTATAGCCTCTCTGCTCGGCGCCAGCCATCCAGCCACGCTCGCACCGCCCTGGGCTCCGTTTGAACACTGAGTCGCCGTATCTGACCGCCGCTGCACTCACAGCGGCGTGGAGGACAGCCGGGGCCTTACGAGCGGTCACGTGACTGCCCGAGGCGGAGTCAGGGTGGCCACGTCCCACGACGGCAGTTCAATGACCTGGCCAGCCGCAAACGATGCAATGAAGATGGGGCTGCAACGGGAGCGACCCGGGTCGGTCCAGTCGTCAACAGGCACCTAACCCTGGCGAAAGGAACAACTCCGTCAGTGGCGAAAAAATCGGTATAGTTTCAGATGCTCTAAGGGAGGGGGATGACATTGTGTGAGGGACCGAGAAGAAGTATTTTCTTTTTACGGACAATAGCCTCCACACGCTGAATGCGTGTATTTCAATAAACAAAAAGAAAAAATGTCTGCTTGAACCGAAATAAAAAACACTTCAAATGAAATTGCAGGTTCACAAAGCGTTTGAAAGGAAAGAAAATTAACCAGTTGGGAACTGTGCTTCTTTTAGGAAACTCAAAAGGATCGCACGTGCACGTACCTCAACAAGAAACACTATCGTTCTGAGGCGTGTCCTCATAAGATCACTTCCATCTTATTGGCCCTCCGAATGATACGGATCTGACCGGGAGGCATGTCAGGGTGGCCAGATGCCTTGAACGAGAACACCACATCGCTCTGGCCAAAGTTCGCCTCGAACCTGTCGACAAAACAGATGGCATGTTGAACACGTTAAATAGCGTGTTCAGGAATAGAGTAGAGTTGTTTCGAACTCAGCGACCGCTAATGGGTATGAGCCGCGCATAAATAAAAGGTTACAGGGTCGGGCAGCAAACACCAAACAGTGAACATGCACGTCCTAATAATGACGGGTATCGGACAAAATCAACGCACGCTACCCTGCCCTCCACTGTCGCGTCGATCCAGCCACCCGACTCACTCTGTGTCGATGTTGATGTCCGGCGGCTTCCCCGTGGCATTCTGGATCACCAGGAATAGTTTGGTGACGATTTCGATCACGTGGCCGGTTTGGAAGACGAGGTCGCCCTTGCGGTGCTTGCTACCGCTGTCGCCGCCTCCCATCAGACAGCCCGGAAGGTTGGGCTCCTCGACAGTGGTCTCGCGTGTCGGCGAATGCTGCCGCGCGTGACGGATTAAGGTCAGAGAAGGGACGTCGCTGTGTGCTGTTTGTCATTCAGCTACCGGGTGACGAACGGATCTAACGTGTAGGTTCAATCGTCTAATGAAGCTGACGGAGCCCGGCTTGTAGCCGTATTGGGCGCCGCGTGGTAGGTAGACTGTGCCGCATTACATATGAGCGCTGCGGAACATACACCAGGCGGCTGCCGCTTCGCTCACACAAACCTGGCCGCTCTGCGCCGGGGTAAAGACATAGTTTTAGCGGTAATCGAAACGAGACAATGCGACATGAGGATAGCACATGTATTCACAGTTACTAAGGATAGATGAGCAAGTAAAAATGTCTAACGTATTGTGAGCGGATCTCCTATTGCTGCTTGACATTGTACCGGATTCATAGCATGTATTTACTCTGCTCTCGCATGCTATGAGTGCAAAGCAATGCTCTGACGCCGGTCTATACATCCAGAGAGTCGACTCACCGCTCGCACGTGGAAGACAGCGATGTCGTCCAGGAAAGGACTCAGCGAGATCCGATAGATCTCCGGCGCCGGAATGCGGTACTTGATCTGCATGGTGCGCTGATCCAGGATCAGCATTGAGCTGGTGCTCAGCACGAACAGCACGGGCACGAACTGTCGGCGGGGCAGCGTCAGCACCGGGGGTTCCCAAAGGGGCTGATGGGGCTGATGGGGTTACCGCTGCAAGAATGGAAAGGTCGCTGCGATACTCATATTTTTCGTTTTTATTGGACCATGTCAGATTGTTTTCACTTTAATGTGCTCCCTTGCATAGGGGAAGCCGGGGGAAGCCCGGGCGCGGGGGAAGCCCGGCCACCCCGTTTCCGGCTAAATTATTCACAATAAAATGCTCAACTGTTTGTCCTTTCAGCGTGGCAGCTAAGGTAACGCCAGCAAAAAAGTTAAGGCTAACAAAAATTGCATATTGTTAAAGTTATAGCGCAAAAATGATATTTTAAGGGTTTTTAGCTAAAAAGTGAGATATGTTGCACTGTTAATGTTATACCATACAGTACTAATATTTATACGAATGTTATGTAAGGACCGTTTAAGTGTTTGTAGTGAGGGGTGACGAGGCAGACTGGCTTAAGTATGACATTTTTTTTTCGAATATCGCTGTTCTAAATTAAAAATTAGCACATTGGGGTAACCCCGGGCGAGTGGCCAAGCTTACCCCCAACCGAGAGCAATGCCACTAAACCACTGTTTTCCATGAGATAATAGGTACTGAGCAGGTTTGGTTTACACCTAGATCAAAGATAAATTTCGAAAATAAACATGTTATCATAGACAAAGCCAGTCATGTCACTTAAGGTCAACTAGGGTCAAACTACGTTTTTGCAGATAACGCGACAGACAATGAAGCTAGAGCTTCAAAAATGGTGTCGTTGTGTTCTTCTTCATCAGCCGAGTCGAATGATATGCAATATGATGCATTAGTGTAAAAAGAAAAATAAATTTCAAGGAATTTTGAAATACACATTTTTTGTCAATTTTGCATCACGATTTTCATCGACCTGTACTGTATATGTGGTAGACGCTAGCTAAAATACCAGTAGTGACATAAACTCTAAGATGTCCAGAGCTTATCAGTACCTTAATATTTCACTTTCCGTTAATATTTGGAAGACACATAATGGTTTCATCAACTCGTTGTAAAGCGCTGGGGAGGTGGCCGGCGTTACCCCTATGCCGGACTTACCCCAGAAAAATCAACACTTTTTTAAAACTCGATTTTCTCAACCTTATACTTATTCCACGAAACCGAATTTTTGGGAAAACACGGCCAATGAACTTAGCTAGCTAACAGGATATCAACACTTTATACAGCATGTATGGTATGTAATAAAAATGAAAAAGAGCTTACTATGCCGGGCTTCCCCCGGCTTCCCCTAACAACGATGAACTATTATGCAGTGACCGATGCAATATTTAATGATATACAAACATCGCATTCACGACAATGCTACTGCCGGGATTAGTTTGTATGCATAATTTGACTGTAAGTTTGCTGCTGAATAAATCGGAAATTACCACAAAATGTTAACGGAATGAGTAAAAAGTAAATCTAGCCCGTACCTTTCCACTTGATCGAGCAATTTTGTTAATGATGTCGGCGAACACAACATATTGATCGTTGCTTTGCGCCGACATTTTCTTCCACTGACTGTTCTGCCGAAGTCGGACGTAGTCGCCCAGAAAAGGATGACCGATACTGGAAAGGTGCATGCCCCAGAAGCGTTAGTTCACATCCCACACCACACTGAGTTTCCGTCACACCATGCGGGTTAGTTGTCCACGAAATCGGCACACAAACTCACATGACGCACACTTGGTCATTACCATCACCATAAAGCGCCTTTTCCAGCTAAACTGTAAACATAGCCCAGCGCAAGTGCAGAAACTGGGGGAGGGGGAGGGGTGGGCACAAACCAAACACATGCATTCTTATTGTCTGGTCATCATTTCTGCGAATAAGCGCCAGACATTATAGGCACATGTGCAGTGTTCAGGAACAAATAGTTTGGATACCGAATGTTTTTTTTTTCGGCCATAAAGAAATAAATAACAATGAGTGCAATGAAAAATACCTTGTATTATCATCTAATGTGTCCGAAATCCAGACTACGTCTCTAAAACAGTCTCCTTAATGTAACAACATAGCAGACCGTAATAAACCTCGCTGCAATTTAATGGTAACCTCCAAATGACAACACAGCTCTCATTCCAACCCAGTAGTCGTCATGAACGTATGGCAAAAAGGCATAGCTTAACCCATAGATAACATGAACTACCTGGATTGGACACTCGTTTTTGGCGCGAAAAATAAGAGGCCACTTTGGCCTCTTATTTTTAATGACGGATTTTTAATCAGTATTTTGAGAGGCTGATATCTCAGCAATCGCTGGGCCGATTCGCCTGCGGTCTTTTTTGTTGGGTAGCTCCATCCTTTCTGCCCCGCAATTCACTTATCGTGATGCATTCAAGGTGACCGTCGTGGCACGTGGCACGTGAAAAGTCGGGGTGCTCAAGTCGTTCTGCTGGAGTAACAATTTTGAGAGGCCTATATCTCAGTAACCACTGGGGCGATTGACTTGCGGAAACTTTTGTAGAGTAGCTGTATCCCTTCTAACAAACATTGGATACTCTTGGTGCACGTGAGTGACCCCCGCTGCACGTGCAAAGTGCAAAAAAACAGAAGAGGTGTTAAATTTGTTCCCATTACAGTAATTCAGCAACTACTGGGGCGATTTCGCTGAGACTTGGCATTCATGTAGGCAGTAGGCACCCACCGGGCAATGCATATCCGTATGTCATGGTTGGGGTGCTATTGCACGTGCGCACGTGCAGGGGTCGCTTCCAGATCTCGAGAACGGCTGGACCGATTGCGCTCAAATTTGGTACGCGATTAGAGACCGGTGAGAAGAGTGCCGTGCAAAAGTCAGTTGGGACCCATATTGCACGTGCGCACGTGCAGGGTGCCGCTTCCAGATCTCGAAAACGGCTGGGCCGACTGCGCTCAAATTTGGCACCTCGCAAGAGACCAGTAAGTAGAGTGCCGTGCACCGGTGACCGGGGAGGTTGTAGCTTTGCGCGTGCTCACGTGCTCACGAGTGACACCCCTCTGTCATATCTCAGAAACGGACTGACCGATTGCAATGACATTTAGTGTGTGATTGGATACTGAATGTGCATGAATTTTTCTAAGTCGATGAAGGTGAGGTAATGCACGTGCGCACGTGCAGGGGTCGCCTCCAGATCTCGAGAACGGCTGGACCGATTGCGCTCAAATTTGTCACACGAGTAGAGGCCGGCGAGAAGGTTGCCTTACCAAAGTCAGTTGGGACCCATATTGCACGTGCGCACGTGCAAGGTGCCGCTCCCACATCTGAAGAACGACTGTGTCGATTACAATCATATTTGGTACATTGCAAGAGACCAGTTGGTAGGGTGCCGTGCACCGAGGAGCCTGTAGCTCCGCGCGTGCTCACGTGCGCACGTGCGCACCCATCTGTCATATCTCAGGAACGGACGGACCGATTACAATGAAATCTGGTGTGTGATTGGATGCTGACCGTGTATGAGTTTTTCTAAGTCGACGAAGGTGTGATAATGCACGTGCGCACGTGCACGAGCACACCCAACATTAACAGCTTAAAAACTGGAGGGCCGATTTCGATCAAATTTGCCGTGCGATTAGGGGATAAGACAACAAATTACATTCACTGTGTGCATCAGAATAAGTGTGAATATGTATAACCCATTTTTTAGAGCTGAAAAATGAGCACGCTGGTGGTGATCAGATTCGGTTCATAATCGATAGCGTAGCTCACTCAGGCTGGGTAGTACGCTCAGGTCAGGTATATACCTGACCTGACTGAAATCCTCAGTCTGAGCGAGCTACGCTATCGATTATGACCCGAATCTGATCACCACTAGCCTCTGCCCGTTTTTCAGCTCTAAAAATGGGTTGTGCACCTTCATATGTGCATACTCACACCCATTATGATGCACACAGTCAATTCACTTTGTCATCTTATCCCTTAATCGCACGGCAAATTTGATCGAAATCGGCCTTCCAGTTTTTAAGCTGTTGCTGTTGGGTGTGTACTTGCGCACATGCATATTCAGTGCTGGAGCACACAATTAATGCACTTTGTTATTTCCGAATCGCACACCAGTTTTTACTGAGATCGGCTTGTCCGTTTTTAGCTGTAAATATGGGCTATGCGGTGTGCACGTGCGCACGTGCATTATCACACCTTCGTCGACTTAGAAAAACTCATATACGGTCAGCATCCGATCACACACAAAATTTCGTTGTAATCGGTCCGTTCGTTGCTAAGATATGACAGATGGGTGTGCACGTGCGCACGTGAGCACGCGCAGAGCTACAGGCTCCTCGGTGCATGGCAACCTACCTATTTGTCTCTTGCGATGTGCCAAATATGATTGCAGTCGACACAGCCGTTCTTCAGATGTTGGAGCAGCACCTTGCACGTGCGCACGTGTAATATGGGTCCCAACTGGCTTTCGCAAGGCACCCTTCTCGACAGTCTCTAATTGTGTGACAAACTTGAGCGCAATCGGTCCAGCCGTTCTCGAGATCTGGAGGCGACCCCTGCACGTGCGCACGTGCATTACCTCACCTTCATCGACTTAGAAAAATTCATGCACATTCAGTATCCAATCACACACTAAATGTCATTGCAATCGGTCAGTCCGTTTCTGAGATATGACAGAGGGGTGTCACGTGGGCACGTGAGCACGCGCAAAGCTACAACCTCCCCGGTCACCGGTGCACGGCACTCTACTTACTGGTCTCTTGCGAGGTGCCAAATTTGAGCGCAGTCGGCCCAGCCGTTTTCGAGATCTGGAAGCGGCACCCTGCACGTGCGCACGTGCAATATGGGTCCCAACTGACTTTTGCACGGCACTCTTCTCACCGGTCTCTAATCGCGTACCAAATTTGAGCGCAATCGGTCCAGCCGTTCTCGAGATCTGGAAGCGACCCCTGCACGTGCGCACGTGCAATAGCACCCCAACCATGACATACGGATATGCATTGCCCGGTGGGTGCCTACTGCCTACATGAATGCCAAGTCTCAGCGAAATCGCCCCAGTAGTTGCTGAATTATTGTAATGGGAACAAATTTAACACCTCTTCTGTTTTTTTTGCACTTTGCACGTGCAGCGGGGGTCACTCACGTGCACCAAGAGTATCCAATGTTTGTTAGAAGGGATACAGCTACTCTACAAAAGTTTCCGCAAGTCAATCGCCCCAGTGGTTACTGAGATATAGGCCTCTCAAAATTGTTACTCCAGCAGAACGACTTGAGCACCCCGACTTTTCACGTGCCACGTGCCACGACGGTCACCTTGAATGCATCACGATAAGTGAATTGCGGGGCAGAAAGGATGGAGCTGCCCAACAAAAAAGACCGCAGGCGAATCGGCCCAGCGGTTGCTGAGATATCAGCCTCTCACAAAACTGATTAAAAATCCGTCATTAAAAATAAGAGGCCAAAGTGGCCTCTTATTTTTCGCGCCAAAAACGAGTGTCCAATCCAGGTAGTTCATGTTATCTATGCTTAACCCTATTCCTGGCGGGCTCCGCCGGGACAAGAAACTGGCGGGGGGGGGCCGATTCGGCCCCCCCCCCCCTGAGATCTCGAGAACGAAGCAAGATAGCGACAAGCGGTAAACGGCATCGGATACGCACGGCCAAGATCTACAATTTTTACTAAGGTCATTTTCAGGTCAGGTCAAAGATGACGTCACAGGGGTCGAAAAAGTCAAAATGGCGGCACTAGATATGGAGAGAGTTTTTCTCGAATAACTTTCGAATTAGTCAAGATAGGAACAAACTAAGGGCATCATCGTGATCCTCTCGTCAATCCGCATCGAATGATATATATGTTGACCTCGAAAGGTCAAGGTCAAAGGTTGACCTCAGGTCACGTGACCTCGAGGTCATCATGTATATCATTCGATGCGTCTTGACGAGCTGAACACAATGAGACCATCCACGCGTCTGTATCTTGTTCCTGTACGGAGTTATTGTCCAAAAACCTTTGGTGACCTTTGATGACGTCACATGACCTCACAGCTGCCCAACATCAAAACAGACCTCAAGGTAGTGAAGGTTGATCGTATATGAAGTCATGTATTGTATATGGGGCCATTCCGACCCGTTTTAGTGGTAAAAACAGGGAGTTGATTTTTCCCCCATTGACTTATAATGGGGGAGGTCGCGAAATTGACCTGACCTTAGGTCACCGATATCAAAATTACGAGATATACAAATTGCACATACTGGTACCCTAACTAAACCCTGAAGAGAAGAAATTGATCGGTCAAAAACTCTAGCTCTGGCGTGATTGCAAACTTTTCTGAGGTAGCGTCACCAAACCGCCTCTGGTGACCTGACCTGAGGTCAGATCAACTCAAAATTTTCAGACATGTTGCGTAGAAGCCTTTTAGGAAAAGTCAGAAAATTTGAGCTTCCTAGCTCAACGCGTTTGGGAGATATAACCAAAAAACCTCAGGGGGGGGCTCCTGAGGCCCCCCCCCCCGCCAGGAATAGGGTTAAAGTTGCTGGATAACGTTTAACCCGCGCCCTGCTGGGGGGGTGTTTGAACACCCCCCCTTGTGGTTTTTCGCGAATATCTCAAAAACGGCGGCGCGGAGCGCCGCCGTTTTTGGTACACCTTATCATACATCAATTCTACACATGTTGTGAAAATTTCAGACCAAGGTCATTCAAGGTCAGGTCACCAGGTCACTTGAAGTGACCTCACCTCATAAAAACTTTCAATGTCTGTCATAGCTACACCGAGTGACCGATCGCTTTGAAACTTTCAGCGATTGCTAAGAGCAATAGTCTGTACAAAATGTATATCTCAGAATTTTGATATCGATGACCTAAGGTCAGGTCAATTTTGCGACCTCCCCATTATAAGTCAATGGGAGAAAATTGAAATGCGCCTCTTTTGGATGAAAGACATTATAAACACTCCCAAACACCGAATTACAAGTGGTTTAGACACAATGAACTTGAAAATGGTGTCCGTGACCCTTGTTTATGCCCTGAGGTCATCTTAGGTCACGAATGGTATCTAACAGTTTTTCGCAAATAACTTTTGATAGAGGCATGCTAGAGCGATGAAAACACCTTAGATGTGTTCAGCTCGACGATACGGATCGACTGATATGCAACATGACCCTTCCCGGTCAGGTCATGACCTTGACCTGAGGTCAAATTTTCAAGTTGACCTTTCAAGGTCAAGTTATAGTTCGTTCGATGCGTCTTGACGAGAGGAACACGATGCCGGTAAAAGTAAGCTCGTACAAGGCTTGGGTCAAAAGTTATTGCAGAAAAACTGTTTTCGAAAAAATCGGCTATTTTTGCAGTTTTTGCCCCCTGCAGCCAAAACCGTTGACGTTAGGTCAAATCTGAGAGAATTACTCAGAAAGGGCGTTAATAGGGCTATCGAATGCGCTTTTCCGCGGCGCTGTAGCTCTATTGGTTCCCGAGTTATGCGTTGGCTTCTTGGAAATTTTCGACATTCGACCTGGAAATCGGCGAAATTTTGCCTTCAATGACCTCTGGTGACCTGACCTTTGACCTGACCAAAAAATTGACCGAAGTGATTTCATCATTATTTTTTACGCTCTTTCGAACGCCGCCTTCCGTGTATCGCTACGTGGCCCAGGAGCCGAGTTACAAGGGGGGTGTTCAAACACCCCCCCAGCAGGGCGTGGAAATCCAGGACCCCCAGCAGGGCGCGGGTTAACATAGGAGGGCTTAGCTAAGCTTTTTATCCCGACTTGCTTGAAAAATGGTGAAACTGACTGATAATGTATGTAGGTGGGGGTTACAAAAGGTGTTAGTCGATACAGTTAGTAAAGGTCTGCCGTCCACTTTCAGTTCTGCAATCGCACACACGTGAAAGCCGTCCCCCCAAAATAAATCACACAAACGACATGCGTCGGCTGTCGCCTGTCATTTACGGACCTGTCCGTTGCTGCGGTTAACCTTGTTCACCACAGCAGCGAACACAACGTGTCTGTCATCCCAGTTGAGGTTCACATACTTCTTCCAGAACATGTTTTTCCTCAGCTTCACATAGTCGCCACGGAAGTGTTTGTTCAGGCTACCGCACAAAAAATGTTGCAACACAATATATTTATTGCAAGTAGATCTTATTGTAAAAAAATATTTTTTTTTCTTTTATTCACTTTGCATATATAGCGAAACTATCTCTATAGCATTTTGTAATTAAGCCTGTTGCAATCCGCATGTGTGCGGCAACATGCAAAAATGGGCATACATTATGTAACCAATCAATGATGATGATACATGTCACCTATATATATATATATATATATATATATATATATATATATATATATATATATATATATATATATATATATATATATATATATATATATATATATATATCCCTAGTCCCATAGTCACCTTATAGTCCCATGTCGAATTCAGTGTGTGCAGAGCGAAATGGACTCGTGCCACTTTTTCTTACCTTTTTGGGTAGGACGCCTTCCGTCCCTTGAAAATGATGCTAGATGTGACCTTTTCCCTCATCCGGTTCCTCGACGTCTGATCGAAGCGCATCCGGTACTTGTGACACTGGAAGTAAGCCAAAAATATAAATAAACAGGCGGAATTTAATTGATTAACCCTCGCCGGCACAGGGGGTTGATGCACCCCCCCCCCAGGTTTTTTGCGAATAACTCGCGTAAAAAGCGGCTGATCGCAACGAAACTTTCAGTACCCTCGCATTGATCAATTTTACACGTTCCCTGAAAATTTCATGACCCTGACCCCAATGACCTTTGACCTGTGACCTCTTTTCCGTGACCATGTTTGGCCAAAATCGCGATTCGGCGTATGTCGGCTCGCATTAGCCGCGCGTTTGCAAGCTTTTCGTGGTTTCAAACGTTCAAACATGTGATTTGATGTTGCTCCCATACATTAGGGTGGGTGTCAAGGTCACCTGAAGGACAGGTCAGGTCATTGACCTTTGGTGACCTCGGTTGACCTCGGTTCACTTTTTCGAGTTTTACATGTTTCTAGGCTAGTTTTTGGAGCTGAATTCGAATTTAGCAACCATTTGAACATTTACGAAGTAGTTTTGGTGCCTTCGTAACATGTTACGAAGCTGTCAGAGGCGGTTGACACGTATACGAATTCCCGTCACAACCCCTACCGGTTGACCTGACCTGACCTGACCCGACCTGGTCTAAATGCTTAAAAACATCATCTCTGATCAAAACTAACACGATATTCGTGATCAGCACCCCAGAAAACCACATAACAGCCACACTTTACGACTTTCTAACAGGTCCCGATTTTCCCGGTTTTCGGGTCATTGACCTGACCTGGAAAGTCACCCGATGACCTAGGACCTTAAAATTGGGTATCATCGGCTTCCTCTCGTGACGGGCAACACGCTCGTTTTTTCGTCGAAGCTCTAGCTTGATCAGGGGCCAAACGCGAGGGGGTTCGTACCAACCGTCGTACCCTTGTGCCGTCGAAGGACGCAGAATGGCCTGTGCCGGCGAGGGTTAAACGGTGTCAACCCCCGTATATCGTTCCCGTCTTCCAATCACTGTCAGCATTTGCTAACACCTCAAATCAAACCCGTATAATTACACACAGACGAAAGAGGAGCAGGATGGAAGCCAGCTCACCCGCCACTTGTGGTAGAGTTTGTAGAGTAGCGCGCTGGCGTGCTGACAGGGCGGTGGGGCCCGCGGCCACTCCCGGCACAGTGGGCTCTCGGAGGGCAGGTGGTGGGCCAGTCGGAGCAGGAAGCGGCGCCGCTTCCAGCCGCGGTAGGCGCGCTGCACCAGCCGGGCGGCCCACTCCGTGCGCCGGCGCTGCTTCATGGCACGCAGCTCCTCCTTGGCCTGGCGGACAGACCCGGCAGAGGGTTAGAGTGCAGACATGATAATGGAGACTACCGACCCAATAACAGCAGACGTTTGAAATAGAAACACCAATCACTGCGTAGGGCATAGAAAACAGTTTTATGAAGGATAGTCGACGGTACACTGCGCCCGACACACACATATCGACACGTATCGACCAATAATGATAGGGAACGACGTTCTAGTTCAGTTACATCGATCCAAACCTTCCGGTAAAAAACAACAGTCGATGGCTAGTGAGTGGTACCTATCCATACGCACATACGACGCTACAATTTACTTGAAACTGACCTGTAGACTGTTGTTTCGAATTGTTGACTGAATTACAGCTAGTAGTTGAAGACAGTTATATTCGTCTCAAAGACTGAATGGACACTAATCAACGGGAGCTTCTCAGCTACGCTTAGCTGCAGGTGTTTGAGCGTGCAGCTTTAAGCTCCCATTAATGCAGCTTGTGCTGCTTGGATTGGTTTGCTGGGCAGTGCTCCATAGCAACAATTGATTGTGCTGAATGCTACCGGATGTGTCGAAGTCAATGGGTATATAATAGTGCGCTGTGCCACTGGCTGATGATATCGCGCTAGGAAGATGATATATGGGATATGTATATAAACTACGACGCTCGGTTCTAAACACAAAAAAGTATTTAACGCTGTCTTCTAAGAACAAAAACACTGCTGTGAGGGCACGGAGGTCGACCGAGTTCTGCCACCAACCAGGCGCCCTATGTTCCAGTGGCTGATGACGGATCGCACTGCAGCGTTCTCCTCCCCCTGAGCCTCAACGTGCTCCTGCATAATGCGAGCTTGCTGAAATGGGAATGTCAACGCCAAGTGATGGGACAAATACAGATGTAGACCACCGACGCAACGCATGCATTGTAAATCCCGACTGAGACGTAAACAGTACGAGGGGAAGCGCCGATAGAAGAGGCTGGATTTCGCTGGAACATTCATGCTTCCAATGTTAATTTCATCATTTGCTTCCATGTATTCATAGCATAATTTGTCAGGTTATTGAAACAGCGGCTGGTGCGGGCTCATTCCATTCCTCAGTTCAAGCATCCTTGTCTCTCAGGGCAGATGATATCTCAACCAGAGTTTGCAGAGTACTGCTGCTCGGCAGTATATACACCGTGTCTCCCGTTCGCCTACCTTCCACGTTCTCCAGTTGGACGCGATGATGATCTGCGACTTGCGCATGGCCTCGAAGAGCCGGTGTTGCCGCCAGCCGCGCCACGTCTTCTGAATGAGGGTGGCCAGCTCTTCCAGCCGATCCCGGCGGTACTCCTCCAGCTCATACACCTGTCGGCAGAAAGGACAACTTCAACAAAGCTGATCTGACACTACGCTGGCAGGTAGCTAACAGTCGTGCGAAAGACAGCTGATGTATTTGATTTTTTCTCATCAGGTACTGGAATCAACTTTTGCGAAGCATCTTGTTAGAGGTATCTATTACGACCGAGCAATCACGTCCTGCCTACTTGTTTGTCTACAGTATTGCCAATCGTATATTAGTGTCAGATAGTCATCCATGTTCTACAACTAATAGCGCTAGCACCACCATAGGCGTAACCGAATGTCATATGGACATTAGAATTGAGTATTGTTGCAGCATTTGAGTCAGGTGAAAACCCAGAGCTGACGACCCACAGATTCTCGCCGTCGCCGCAGCGCGGCGCCGCTCACCGTCTCCGGACTCCGGATGAACAGCTTGGTCCGTCCGAAGGCGTACTCGGCCATGGAGCTGGGCAGGTCGCGCAGCAGATAGGTGACGCCCTCGGCGGCCAGACCGCACCACGACGGCCACGTGTGCAGCGAGAGCATCTTGTAGCGAGCCAGAAACGACTCGTACGACTGGCGAAACGCGAACCCTACCCGCTTGACGCGAACCGTCTCCAGCAGACTGAAACAGTGAAACATGGATGAGAGTCAGCTAGGTTGTCAGGGCTTTATATCTCTTCGCGAAATGAGAACGTTTCTGAAGAGATCAGTACACAAAATATAAAATAAGGAATGCCGTCGCTTAGTGACAGTTCTTGAAAGCTAGATGACACAGAAACTCAGCATTGATATACCGGGTGGCCCAAAAAAAAAACGTTCCGAACTTTGGAGGCCTATATCTCAAAGGTGAGTGCAAATAACGAGCCAAAATTCTCATTAAGTTTACGTCACTTCTTTGCGCATTGGTATGCCAAATTATAACACTATATCATCATTTTCAAGCCAGCAAGCTTATGTTGAATTAAGTAAGACGTTTTTGCTTTTTTTGCCGATGTTGGACGGTAGTGATGATTGGCTTGAGACGTACCATGTTAGGAAAAAAAGAAAAATGGAGCACGTGAATGAAACCAGCACGTGTGTTGTTATTTTTAATATTTTTGTCCCACTTATGAGCTGAATATTCAAATACTGAGCCAAAATGGTGTTAATGGATGCCATTCGTTTCAACACTGAGTCCTGTTTCGAGCAGAAGGAGTGGCGCGGTGCATGGGTTACTGCTGATTGCCCTCCCTTCAAGAAGATCAAACAGTAAATCGACCGAATAAGAAAAAAAGCTAGAGGGAATGTGCCACCCTAAGGCCTGAACCATCAGTGAGGCTAGTTGCCAGTAGCAGTCATGGCTGCAGGCCGTGGTACCGAAATGGAAGTTGCCCGTTAACCCACATTTTTTTTAGTAAACATCTGAGCAAAAAAGTAATTTTTACATGGCATGCTAGAAACACGAACCATTTAAAAAGTAATTGCCCGAATAACATAAAAATGATACAATTTACTGAATATATAAGCCGCATTGAATACTGGAAGTTTCAATGTTGTGTCTTTATCACTTTCTGAGAAATGTTGATTCAAAGTTGGGAACGTTTTTTTCTGAGCCACCCGGTACAAAATCAGAGACTTGTCATCGTGTAACCATCCAGAGTTAAACTGAACTTACTTGAGATAGCGGACCTGATGTCGCACCAGCTCAGAGTCGAACTCATTGGCCACCTTGGTGTCGTTGGGTTTGACACAGCGCACGTAGTGGGGCTGCTTGGCCGCCAGGCTCTTCATCAGAGCTCCGAGCGAGATCTTGAACTGGGCGCTGGCGGAGGTGCCGCGGCGGAGGGTGACGCGCTTCGGATTGCCTGGGATAGGGAAGATAAATGTCACACTGGTTAGCTTGAGAGGGTGGTGGCAGTAAATAGACACCGACCGTTTTTTTATGGGTTCGTGTGTGCACTGTGAGAGCTGCGTCGTGGATGCCCAAAAATTATTTACGACTGCAAAAGAAGTTCGCGTCCCCATGATTAACAGAACCAGTTAACCCTATGATAACCAGTTCCGGTTGCCTTTACGCGGCTGCTTACCCTCTGGGAAGAGAGCCTTCATCAGCGGCAGGTCGCAGCGGTACATCACCAAGCTGAGGTCCCTACTCAGGGCGTCCACGTTCTTCTTCACAAAGTCGGTCACATCGTAGGTCACGTCTCCGGCATAGTGTTTTAACCTGCGGCAGAAGACGTGATCAACATATGCACTGCTCATTTTGTAAATGCAAGGCGGGGTCTATTGCTCATTGGTAGAATATGCACCCTGATTGAATGCATAAAGCCACAGTTACAAATCACACATGCAGGCACGTACTCATTGTATTGCATAAATCATCATACCGAGGTAATTTGTTGCCCATTCATTCTACTATTTAATAGCCTGAGTTGGAGTAAGGCAGTTAGGACTTACGTTATAATTAGGCTGAGTTAGCAAATCAGCCGGCGCTCATTACTAACCGGAAGCAGTGTGCCGGCGAGCTGTTGTCGCTGATCACCGAGAAGTGAGGATGGTTGGAGCAGGCGGCGTTCAACCGGGACAGAAAACCCTCGTCAGAGCCGTGGCCGGGCTTCAGGCACTCGTCGTCTAACATTGATAATATACCCTGATTGGTCTGAAACAAACAGACACGTCATTAACACACTTGAATACAGGACCATTAACAATTTTAAAGCAGAAAATATGCACACGGCAGTTACTATTAATTGTATCTAAGCACATGTGTCAAAGGGTTATTTTCGTGCACTAACGGCCAAGTGAGAAGGCACATGTTCACTATCATGTGAGTCACATGCAAGAGGAGTCGGATCTCACCTTTTCGATAAGATCACAGATAACGGCGTTGTTGAAGTAATCGACAGGCGTCCACTCGATGCCCTCGCGCACGTACTCCTCCTGCTCCTCGCGCAGCACCAGCTGGATAAAGATCTGCTGCAGCTTCTCGTTGCAGAAATTGATGCAGAACTGCTCGAACCCGTTTCGCTCGAACACCTCGAACCCATAGATGTCCAGAACACCCAACACTTTCCGCTTGGCGTGCTTCTTTGGCTAAACAGGGAAATCCAGACGTAGGTAAGTCGACGTTTGGGTGTTAGGCAATTACGTTCAATTTAGAAGTGACATTAGAACGACGTTTCAAGTAAAGAGGAGTATCGGTAGGTAATTTCTACTTTCTTCTGAACCTCGAAACACATTCACATTTTAATCACAGACCGTGGTCGAGCAGATTAAGGACAATAAGCCCTATTCACTCCCTGTGACGTTCACAAACGCCCACTATCGTGGGACCCCGTGGAAACGCCGCGGCTCGGCCGGCAGCGAATTCCACTGCACGGTAGGCTGTCCCGCACTACACGGACGCACTGCGGCACAGTCTACCAGGACCAGGCTTCACTCGCGGCTACCGCCAGTGCCGACAAACGTGCTACAGCAAACTCGCTTCGCTCAGTCATCAGCGAATTGTGTCAAGGGCACTGAAAAAGCTTGCCTTGCCATATCTACCACTTTTTACCTTGATAGTTTCGTTGATCCGCATCACTATCCAGGCAAAGAGCCGCGAGTAGAGGGCCCGCGCGAGCACGTCTCTGGCGGAGCAGGCCTCTGCGGCGCTCAGCTCCACGGTGACGGCGTCCAGCCGGCCGTCCAGCGTGTGTGACGTCAGAGAGGCCTGCAGCGAGGCGGTGTCCGTGTGCAGCAGCTCACAGGCGTCCTGCAGATCTGTAGATCAAGAGGACAGGGCGCGTTAGGGTGGCGTATCACTGCAGGAGAAGAAACCGTTTTTGAATGCTTATGCAATAATAAGCATATAAATTTTCTGCTATATGCAAGCTCTATTTTCAAAAGTAAAGCATGAAAGTTATACATTTCCATTCCAAACAGAATTATTCAGAAAACCCAAAACTTTCGTTAAACAAATAAAGCAATAATATCCCGTGCGAGTCATTGGGTGCCCAATGCATAAACAGTGACGTTTGGCTTAGAAACGAAAGCCAATGGGAGAGTCTGGGCAATTCATGACTGCGACTGCACGCTGGCAGGCTACCAAGAATGTGACAGCCCGAGGCGCGGCTCTGGGTCATAATATTGCGCAACGGGGAAAACGACATCGGCCTGTCACTGGGCAGCGGGTGACAACTGGGGAAGCCCGTGAATAATATTGCACGTAAAAGTAGGCCAGCACACTGCATGGCTTGGATAAACGTGACGAATACGGACAAAAGGGCACATTATGAGGCCTTCAAAGCATCAGGATAACATTTTCATTTGAAGGGCATGCAATACAATTTCCATTTTGGCAAGGAAACAACATGAATGATGGTTCTCATTGTAATCATGCATTACTCTTCAGTTGCCAACTGCTCAGCGAAAAACGCCGCCCTGTGAGAGCACTACTGTTCGCTAAGCTCAGTCGCGACTGCACACGGCGGTCGCTGATGAGGAGAGAGGAGGGGAGCCGCCGCCGCCCAGTCTGCCAGTCGCCCTGATGACGGGCACAGCGTCTGCCGAGAGCGGGAGCGGCCGACGGCTGACCGGCCGACGCGCTGACGACCCGGAGACACATTCTTGGCAGGGCCGGTGGCCGGCGCGCCTCCCCCGCTCTGCTGGCGCGCTCCGGCGCTCTCTCCGACGGCCGACACCTCGCCCTGTCGGACCGACAAAAAGCCGACGACGGATACGTCGCTGGAGGTCGGCTGCTCCGGACGGGCGGACGGCGGACGGGCGGACGGTGGGCGGTGGGTTGTGGGCGATGGGTTGTGGGCGGTGGTCGGTGGACAATGGGTTATTGTATAGTGGACGGCGGACAGCGGACGGAGGACGGTGGACGGTGGACCGTAGACAGCGGGCGGTGGGCGTACAGCGGGCGGCAGGCGGAGACGTCGGTGACTGGTGAAGAGCTGAAAGCAGCTTCGCGAACGGATTGGTGGAGACCTGGATTGAGAACAGCCGTAAGGCGTTGGGTGGCAGGCAGCGGCAAGCGGTGGAGGTTGGCGACGGGAGCAGGCTTGAATTCCGCTCAGTTTAGTGTCTGGAGCGGCGGTGAATGCTAGACGGCCGGCTGCGGCGAATAGTGCGACGGCTGTTGGCAAGTGGTGGATGTGCCGGTAGGCAGTGGGCGGTGGGCAATGGGAGGTAGCGGTGGGTGGCTGTGGCTGCGTCTAGGGCGGTGGGCAGAATCGAGCAGGCCATGGGCAGCTGGCGGTGGGTGGTAGGCGATGCGAGGCAATGGTGGGCGGCTGCGATGATGGGCAGCCGCCCACCATACGTCGCTGACGGAATGAAGCACAACCAGGGGCGGCGAGAGGCATGTATGTGTGCTGGCGGCTGCTACGTTGGGCGATAGACGGAATGGAGCACAGCCTTGGGCGGCAGGCGGTATGCGGCTGGCGTCTGCGGCAGTGGGCGGAGTGGAGCATGGCCATGGGCGGTGTGCGGTATGCGGCTAGCGTCTGCGGCAGTGGGCGGAGTGGAGCATGGCCATGGGCGGCAGGCGGTATGCGGCTAGCGTCTGCGGCAGTGGGCGGAGTGGAGCATGGCCATGGGCGGCAGGCGGTATGCGGCTGGCGTCTGCGGCAGTGGGCGGAGTGGAGCATGGCCATGGGCGGTGTGCGGTATGTAGCTGACGGCTACTTCAGTAGGTAGAATGGAGCACGGCCATGGGTGGTGGGCGGTGAAAGCATGTGGCGACAGCACCCGGCAGTGACGGCCGTCTGTGAGGGTCTACAGCGGCGCGCAGTGGAAAAATGGTGCTGCACGGTGATAGGGGCCACAGATGGCCCGCCTCCCTCCGACACTGGCACACATGAGGCGCATCAAAAGCGGCCGAGACAGGTGCGCGATATCCCATAACGGCGCCGTGAATAGGAAATATTCCAGAAATAGTCTGCAGTAATGTAATGGCAGGCTGAACTCTGAACGGGGGTGAAACCAAATATCGAACGGTACTAAGTTATCCAGAGAGTGAACTCCCCTTGGCGTCGCCGGTCAGCTATTTCGTCCAAACAGGGCAATAACTTTCTCTTGATATATTTTCATACGAAATTGAAAGTAAACTTAACAGAGGACAGCAAATAATTTTCGTTGATAAAACCCATATTGAACAGAGTTGAAGCTAAGCATATTGGTTTTCCACCGAGGAATGAATGAGATCGGCTGCCAATGTTTATTTTGCTGGTCTGATTTGCTTGCATGCTCTGGATGGAGTTTGGGCGAGTGATCGCATCAACCCACTCTGCGATCGATTGGTCAACAAGATATGCATTCGCGAACAATTTATTGGCCCGGACGGAATGAATTGCAGTGATCTTCACCGTCTGCATCACCGAGTCACATGGCGTGCTTGGATACATGTATGCCACATAGACAAATACCCTGCCGTGATGTGCCAACGAAAGCCTGCAGGTTGGACAGCTGATAGCTTCACTGGAGCCAGACCAGAGAGCATCATTACAGAGACACAAATATTTCCAATGATTTTCAGGACCGTAGTGTCAAATAATAATATTCACCATATTCGTCCATTTTTCTTCCAGATGCACAGGTCAGGAAACCCGAAGGAAAAAGGCAGGTTATGGTATACCTTCCTGTGTAGATTGCCGTTAGATATGTATATTGTATAACTAGTGTATACCTGTGTAGACGGCCGGTGGGCAAACACCTACATATATAGATGGTCGGCGGGTATACCTGTGCAGATAGTCAGTATACCTGTGTAGATAGTCTGTATGCCTGTGTATATAGCTCGTATACCTGTGCAGATAGTCTGTATACCTGTGTAGATGGCCGCGCTGGAGGGCAGGGTGACGGGCGAGCAGGCAACGCTCGAGCCGCAGTCGGAAGCCAGAGCCGTCACAAGCCGCTGGGTCAGCGCGCTGCGCAGCGTCTCAAAGCTAACCAGCAGCAGGTCGCTGGTGCCCAGCACCTCTGCAGGAACACGGCGCATGCACAGTAAGCAGCCACGTGCGGGACGTTAAGTACCTACCCGTGGTTCAGCAAGGTGCCGGATACAGACAAAACGAAAATGCCGTGTTTTCGGACAGGCATCGGCAACGATCGCATTCATCTAAATGAAATCACAGGTACGGAAATGGACGAAATAAATATAGTATCAGAACATCGCTGAAGGGATATTTTACGATCATAAAAATACAAAATCTTTGAGAAACACTAAACCGATAGTCTTTTACATTTAATTGGCAGCATCTTTTGAGTTTATATAGGTTATTCTGCCTGGAAGACAACTGTCGGTGTTCTATCACAACAGCATAATATATTTGATGTTGCTTAACCCGGCAGTTGCTGGGGTATTTCGCCACCCACCGTTTGCTGGGGGGGGGGGGGGCGTTAAACGCCCCCAGCCGATAACTCGAGAACCAATAGGCGCAGCGAAACGCACGAGGCGGCAAACGAAAGAGCGCGACGAGACGCTTCAGATGAGTACTTTAAAGTTGACTTTTGAGGTCACAGGTCGGGTCAAGGTCAGGTCAAACACCTGAAATCGGCCTTTCAGTAGCATGGACTTCAGGACTTCGCAATGGGCGCTTCTCGTCATAAACTCTGTCAAAATGGTGCACAATCCATCGTATAAGGCCTACAAGAGTGTCAGCTCCATGTAGGGGTCAGTCAAGCATAGGTCAGGTCAGGGTCAAGGTCAGGTCAACCGGGTAGGCACATATCCCCGAAAATCAAAACTGATATTCGCAGCCCGTGACACATGTTTTAGGGGTAATTTGGGGCGTAGAACACGATGGTGACATTCATTTTATCATATGTGTACGTGTTTGGCTAAAAAAGCTTAATTTAAGAAATGCATGTATCATAGTCGTGAAGTAGTCACGAGAAATTGTCAAGATTCAGTTCAAGATTTTGGAAAATGCGGAACGATAATCAATAATGGAAGATAGCCATTTGATTGTTCATGGTATTGGCAGTCTAATGACGTTTACGGCATGTCTGTATGTCTATTCTGTGATTTTATATGATTTTTTGAACATACGCCGTTTTTGGTCGAAAATTCAGAAATCATGACGTCACTAAAACCTCGATATCTCAAAAATTTTCCGACCGATTTTTTTGAAACTTTGTCACAATAAACTTCAATCAATTCCCTACAGGTACCCAAAATTTGGCGCGCCTGCGGCGCGCCGTTTTTATGCTATGGCCCGGCGAAAAAAGTGGGGGCGTTTAACGCCCCCCCCCCAGCAACTCGCGGGTTAACATGGAAAGCCTTCAAGCATGGCAGAAATACTTTATGATTGATTTATAAGCATGGAGAGAAAGAATCTCTAACAATCGTAAGCATCCCTTCAACTGTGTGCTCAACAATTATACCTATCAATAGACAATTTGATCGATGTATCTCCATGCGAGCAATAACCAGGTCAAAAAGATGACTACCAAAAGCACATCAAATGACAGTTATGAGCGACTCAAGACAATGCAACAAAATGTCGTTCACATAATGCAGTAACCAATGAGTGCATGACTGAAAAAACAACAACCAAGCATACGGTCACAGAGACCAATGAAATAAAATGTTGCTAGCATGTGCTAACATTTGAACGCACAAAACAGCATAACAAGAATTATTTAACGCGATTAAAGGCAAGCATTTATGTAAGCGATGGCGAATCCAAAGGGCATTACCAGGCGCCCAGATTGATGCTGCTGCCAGTCGTTCTGGAAATTATAAATCACCATTGAGCCCGCGGCCCGATAGAGCTAAATTGCCAGAACCTGCCCGCCGTATAGATAAGGGGACGTTTCGTACTCTAGCTCGAGCTATCTCTTGTAGGAAATGCCACTTTTTTAACTGCTAGTGGGTTAAAGTGCCGAAAAGTTTTGACTACTGCCTTCTGGATTCGCCATCTGCGTAACACCGTCCAATACATGATGTCGACTCACCAATGTCAGAGACTCCGTGGTTTTACCACGTTCGTTCTTCACGCCGATCGGATCGAGTCGCGGCGAGGCGAGAGAAAGATACTCACCATACGAACACGTGACAGGAAACCTACTTACCCCAGCTGACGGGGGAATTACTTGGCCCACCTCATGGCTGGTACAAGTTACCCCGTCTGTCTGCTGCGGGATGGTCGTACCACGTCAGGCTGGTCTATTTAGCAGTATGGAAACTTACCGTACTCATTGTCCACCACGCAGCCCTCGGAGCCGTCAATGTTGTTCACGGGCGAGAAGGTCACGTTGCCGAGCTTTAGCACGGACGCGATCACCCTCAGAATGGCCTGCTGCTCGTCAGCCGTGAGCCCCAGGATATCCATCGCCCTCTGCAGGAAAATACAGCTATCAGCTACCATACTTTGGGTCTGTGTGGGAATTAATAACTAGGAAAGACCGACTAATGACGGTTCATAAGACTAGTGTTTATAGTGCACTTTAAAGTTGAAGAAAATTACCAAAGTATTATAAAAATGCTTTCCTCGGCAAAACGTACAGGTAAAAGGCAACAGGCACAGTCTACGAGTATCACATTTACTTACTCTTGTGACCTGGAAGTCCCGTTTGTCGTCCAGGGTTTCATACTGAAGAGGTCTTCCCTGTTTCAAAATATCGTAGTTTTCCACATTCCGTTGCAATTTGAGCGATTCTGAGAAAGAAACATCGATGCGTCATTCGAGTGTTGATTTCTGCGCAGTTCCACGACAGGAAAGCAGCGAGTCAGACGGCATCGTTTTCTATTACGCAAGCTCTTAGCAAACATTTGTGGAGGCGTTTAATATTCACTAAATGAGCGAAATTCATTTCGGGCAACTGTTCTCCATTTACAGAATAGTTTTTAGCCCACGTTACGTTTTCACCTGCGACACAGCTGCCTAGCTGCGAACAATTGCCAGTGCCAAGTGGGCCCTCTTTTGGCCGATTGCCATCCTATCTCTCACTGCCCGGTTACGCCAGCTTACTTCCAGAAGTTGTCGAAACAGGTGGCGAGCTGCAACCTATCGAGGCCAATGTCGCCAACCGCTGTAATTGATGAGAAGAAATTGTACGTTTAATTAAAATATTCAAATCAATTGTTCATGACGCGGCCGGTTGGGCACTCACTGAGCAGCTGAATGTCGGCCCCGGTGAGCAGTTGATAGAATATGTGGAAGTTGCGCTCGCACGGCTGCTGCGCCGTCACTCGACTCTTCTCCAGGAGATCTGCTCGACGGAGGAGGGGCGCGCAGATCCGTCAGAGCCGGCAGGCCACGGGCCGATTCACAGCAGATAGCGCAGACGTGCCGAGGGGAGTGTGAGCGATCGGCCGCGTACATACAGACGGCCCCGGCCGCAGCGCCCGCGCCGGCTCCTTCTAAAGGGTGCCTGTGGCTCTACCGACCGGTTATGAACATATTGGAGTGATAAGTAGTAGGCAATGTCGGGAACGCATATATATTTGATCCATTGGGATAGATAAGTGCCCTTATCATTGTACGTATTTGACTCATGATATTTCATGGCTAATCATTTGCGATAGACATAGAGTGGCGTTACTCACAGTTTGTGATAAGGCCACCGATCGGATCTCCCTTGAAGTCGAACTCCAGATCCATGTATTTGCCCTGGAGAGGAGTCATTGTGGTCAGTGTGGGAAAGCAGGCTGAATATATATGATATTTGTTTGCCAGAAGTACAAAGCATTTCAATCAAAGGATCAATCGGCTGGATACGTTGTTTCTATCGTTGCAAAGATCTTATGGTGATATTGAACTCACATGTATCCTTAACTTTATTTGCAACAATGTATGGGAAAACATGGCCTGTAAAACATATCATTTAAGCACAATTCTATTCTAATAAAAGCTTAAAGTACTAAAGCGAGTTTGAAAAGAAATGCAAATTACTCACAAAACGAGATGAGTTGTCATTGCGATGAGTCTTGGCGTTCCCAAACGCTGAAATAAGGATCAAGATCGTACGTCGTTAGTTGCCAATTACTCCGGCTAGGTCGAGTAAGAAAAGCTAAAGAGAAAAACGAATCTTTATCTTGGTAAGCCGTTAACGTAGACAGTATTAAGCTCGAGATAAAAATTATTAACTGTTGCCATCATCATTAATAATTTGGGTGACGGCGAAAAATGTTGGCCGCCGGAAGCTGTCGGCTGTTGCCGGGCTGGTCCAGAGATTAACACATTAGGCCGGGCAGCGGGCCAGACTCCGGCGGCGTCCACCGGCCGTCTCAGCGCGCGGCGCTCACCTTCCAGCACAGGATTGGACTGCAGCAGCTGGCCCTTGATGGCGTTCACCTCCTTGGCTCGTCCGGAGACGGCCGCCACGTACTGCATGATGAGCTTGGAGGCCTCTGTCTTGCCGGCGCCGCTCTCGCCCGATATGACAACACACTGGTCCGAGTTGTGCTCCCGCACGGCCCGGTACGCCTCCTCGGCCACGGCGTACCTGCATGGGTCGGGCGGGTACGGGACGTGATGGCCAGCGGTGTCAGGGGTGGGTGCAGGTAATACGGGGTGAGTGCACAGAGATGAGTTTCCCTTCCTGTCTCCACTTCAGGAAATATGATCGAAATACAAGCTGGGACGTGTTATGCGAAAGCAGCATTACTGCCGATCTCTGTGCTGACGGAAAATATTGCTCACAGCGAGCATGATAAACATTCAAGCATAGGCTAATCTACACAATAAACGTTTACCGGACATTAGTTGATGACGTTTTAGTCTGGGGATTATCTACTGACACGTGCGGCGGCAACTGATGACGTTTTACGTCTGTGGAGTACCTATCTACTTACACGTGCGGCGGCAACTGATGACGTTTTACGTCTGTGGAGTACCTATCTACTTACACGTGCGGCGGCAACTGGTGACGTTTTACGTCTGTGGAGTATCTACTTACACGTGCGGCGGCAACTGATGACGTTTTACGTCTGTGGAGTACCTATCTACTTACACGTGCGGCGGCAACTGATGACGTTTTACGTCTGTGGAGTACCTATCTACTTACACGTGCGGCGGCAACTGGTGACGTTTTACGTCTGGGGAGTATCTACTTACACGTGCGGCGGCAACTGATGACGTTTTACGTCTGGGGAGTACCTATCTACTTACACGTGCGGCTGCAACTGATGACGTTTTACGTCTGTGGAGTATCTACTTACACGTGCGGCGGCAACTCGAAGCGGGAACACGAGCGATACGCTCGTATTACGTCACTGGAGTAGAGCGGCAGCTTTTTGTACGGGTTCACAGACACCAACACTTGACTTATGTAGGTCTGCAAAGAGCGGTGGAACACATCGGATTGCGTTGGTAATACATACAACAGTCGCATATTGCCACCATTCCCAGCATTATGCTTCATGTCTGCCATATCGTCAAGACGTTATGGCTTGAAAGTTAGTTCGAACCTTTTTACCGATATCCTTGGTCGCTATAATGCGCAGTTTGTGCGCTTCTGTTATCACAAATCATAATACAGATGACTTCATATTATTTAGATAGAATTTATTCATTTATTTGCATAATCGCCTACAGAGCAATCTTCACTTATAGGCGAAGTCATAGGCATAAATCGGCATAAAATTTGAGTGATACTGCTCGCAGGGGTCAGCAATAATCACAAAAGCCCCCGGATATGTCACAGCGTAGGTCCTTCACTCTTCTCAGCCGATGCATTCAAAGTGCACTCTCTCGTGGTCCCCACTTATGTAACCGAGCGTCTCCATTGAACCGTGTCGAGCTCGGTGTCACTCGCCCCCGCTGAGCCGTCTGTGCCGTGTGGCGTTTGGCACCGCGGGAGGGCCCCCGCGGGACCCCCGGGCCGGGGTCGGCTGGGTGGCCGACGGGACGGAGGGCCACCGGGGCCGCCGACCGGAGACGCGGCGAGCTCGGCGGCGCAGCACGGCCGCCGCAGACGGTGGTCGGAGGGGGGAGGGGGTCTCGTAACTCACCCGGATAATGAGCTAACCAGACGGCTGGTCGGTTGGCCAGGCATCGGGCTGACACTCGTAGATTTTATATTTTGCCGGATTTCTGACGGTATCCTTACATTTCTTTTGACAATCACCTATACTGAGTCTCGGCTGTGTTCGGCTGAAGACAGTTGCTGTGCTTACAAACGAGCTGGGCTGACTACTTGAGTGCGAGCTGTTCGCAGCACACTGGCTGATTCAACCAGCCAGACAGACCAGCTAATGATTGATTGACCGACCCAGTCTCACCTTCTATCGGAAACTGGCTGCGTCATGCCAAATCCTTTACCGCATGTCCACTGTCCACTGCCCTCTGACTGCTGACTACTATCATAGAGCCCGTGCTGCCCGTGTTCATGACTTTCCTCAGACCCAGCTCCGCCGCTGCCTGCCCATGACCCCGGCCCCGCTGACGGTGCCCCGCTGGCAGCTGCGGAGGCCGGTGACGCAGCGGCATGCCAGAAACGCCGGACGTGATTCAACCCTAACGCGATTACGCAGCCGGCCGCACGGTCCGTGTGCATCGCAGAACGCGGCAGAAATACGACTCTAAGCGCCGCGTTAGCCGACAGCATCCCCGCAGGCGCCGAGGAAAGAACAGTCTCAGTCCCGTGACACCGTAACAATGGAATGGCTACCAGCGCGCCGGTGAGAGCTCACACAACTGCGCCATGTCACTTGTGTGACGAACGGTGACAGCAGTGAAGTGAATACATCTCAAGGTCAGCGGAATTTCACCCGGCGGAAACGATGAGCATGAACAGGGCCTGAACTGTGTCCTGGATGAAATAGAGTTCCTTGACCATAATCCATTTATAAATATGAATTTATCTTAATGAAACTTTGTGTAGAAAATTAATATCAGCAAGGTTGTGCACTGGAAGCCACCGTAACGGCAGAGCGGGACACCGGTCCGGATGTCAGCCACCGCGACGCAGAAATACCGCCGAGTGACAGTTTTACGGCACGGTCGTGCCCCAGTGAGCTCCCTGCTGAGGTGCACGGCTCGTTGGCGCGCCCTGACCTCCGACATTGCCGGGCCGATGGGGCACTGTCACCCGGGAATAGGTTCCCGGGAATAGGCGGCCGACGTCTGGGAAACGGTAGACGTCTAGGAAACGGCCCTGCTCCGCTGAACGGTGGACCCAGCCACTGCTCCGAGTCCGGCCAGCTTAAACAGAAACACCGGACGTGTGTAGCAGCGGCAGAGCACGGTATGGGGGCCTCACAGTTAGTAACAAGTGAGAAATGGCTCATGATCAGCGCGACAAAATTGCCTCTTTTACGTTCCCTGCTCCTCATTGAAAAGAGAAATAACTTAAATTTTACACTAGCATCATGCAACGGAAGATACAGGTCCAACAAATTGCGAGTTAGAAGGTTCAGGGTTCACTGATTTCGATTGTCCAAAAGACGCATCCGAAGTCGTTCGCCGTCTGTTATGCAATACACACCTATGGCAATTGATACCTATACTGAATCATGTGGGATATATCTGCGGACATAAATGACAGAGTGGACACAATTCCTCGAATCGGTGCTCATATTTTTGACGGGGATACTTAGTACTTACATGATGACGAATTTTGGGCTGTTTTCAAGCGTGTTTGTGGCGCGGTACCCACATATGTAGATCTGGCTGTTTGTGGTGCAGCACTCACAGGGGCGTGCTTGTAGTTTGTACTCACATAGATCTGGTCGTGTTTGTAGCGCTGGTGCAGGTTGGCGATGAAGGCCTGCTCGGTGAGCGGTTCGAGGAGCACCGTGTCCCATACGCCCACCTCGCGCTCCAGGGTGAGGGGCCGACCGGGGGCCGGGGCGGACCGGGTGCCGGCCCGCTCCCGCTCCCGGTCCCGGTCCCGGTCTCGGTCCCGGTCTCCGGAGCAGGACCGCGGCGCGAGCCGGTCTCCGGAACAAGACCGCGGTCCGAGCCGCTCTCCGGAGCAGGAGCGCGGTCCGAGCCGCTCTCCCAGCGGCGGCCCGGGACCGCCGCTGGCCATCACAGGCACCACCCGCTCTGCAACACAGGGACGGTGACGGGTTAGGGAACAGCCAGTAACTTTCAGTTTCGTATAGTAGAATAAACTAGTCGGACGTGATAAAAAATGATGTTGAAAGACAAACGAATCAATGAGCAATAAAAACCAAATAGAAGTGCACATGCGCACTTTCTGAAACAATAAAATAATGAAAAAACTGAAACGGTTGTAACAATTATTTTGCAAAGTACATATTTTCTTTTAAAACCTTTACGGATTGTTTTCCCTTCGTAAGTTGCTACCTTACACCAATTACGTGTCACACGGGGTGTGTGTTTAACTGTTGGCGGTACATTCTCGCGCCATCTCCCAGCACCATTTAGGCCGGCCTGGCAGCGACGCGCGGCTGCCAACTGCCATTTGAGGCGTCCATCGACCATGTTAGGCGGCCGTACTTAGATGAGAGGGGAGATAGAGCGGCCCGGGAACGAGCCACACTCTCTGGCAACGATTCTCGATAGGTGGGAGGAACGCACGTGAGGGCTGGGACGGTCACGTGGTCTCTCTCTCTCTCTCTCTCTCTCTCGCTCTCTCTCCTTATCTCTGCTCCTCTGTCTGTTCCCTCTCCCTCTTCTACCCTCCCTTTTTGTTTCCTCACTGCCTTCGGTCCCTCAGTACCTATACATTTGTGATTACGACAACGACGGTTGCTATGGACGCGTGCCCACAGAAGCAGAAGAGGCAATCATTTATGAACACTGGATGGTGTGCTAAGACCAGGCGTGGCATGCATTGTGGGCATGATATAACATAGTATAGAATCGTGCATGTATGTGTGTATGTATCTACGATCAAGAGCGATCCACACATGGCTTGACGATTACTGCTCTACTCGTGCATTCTTCACGAGCACATAATTATATCAAAAATTGACACCTAGACTGCAATAATTAGTTTTTTATGCATAACAGAAAACATGCAATCTAATATGCAGAAAAGCCTCGAACAGGACTGAAGAACGACTGTTTGACAACGACTGCCATGTCCGTATATCAATGTGCGGACAAAGATTCTTTATGTAGGCATAGGTATGTAATATGAGTACCTTTTAGCAGTGTTTGACCTTAGTAGGCCAAAAAGGTTAAATGGGAGCTGTCAATTTAGATGAAATACAACGGAATGTCGCTTTATGAGCAAATGTTTTGCCCTTCCTAGCTCTTGTGCATGATAAGTGGAAAAGACGGGTTGTAACCACAACTGAATGTCGGGTGTTTATATTCAAGCCGTCTGCTGAACCAATGAGGGATAATCCCTCATGGGGTTTCGGAGAACGGTAGAAAGAGGGAGCTTAGTTCACCGAATGTCACTTAGACTAAAAAACGCCTCGTCCTGCACAGTCTCATGAGGAGACTGTGCTCTGGCGTTCTGATGCGTGACCGGTGGTTGGTATTGAGGGAAAGTGGATGATTGCTGGGGTCACCTGAGGTCGGCAGAATTGCCGCCTGGCGGACCATTCGAGGACAGCGCGTCAGGACGTAATCACGTGTGTACGCCGACTGTCGGTAAGGCAGCGGCGCGTGAACGAGACAGGCGACGGTGGCACGGCCAGTCAGATACGAAAGTAGGTGGTCACTTGATCTAATGAGATGATCACAGGCGGTCACAACGGAGGTTGGTCACAACAGAATATAGGTAGTAGCCACCATGATCAGCTAATAGGTCACCGATGATCGCCGAGATGATAGACGGTCGCTTGCGTAGGCCGGTCATTCACAACTTAGACGGTGGTGATCATAGGCATCGCCAGACATTTTCGGTTGGGGGGGGGGGGGGCAAAATCAAGTTTTGTGTTAAATCTTGTCTTTCCCCAGCCGTTACTCACTCGTTTTACATATCATTCGACGAGCAATGGTGCGAGGAATCCGATGGTGACAAAGTTTTCCTTCTAGCTATGGCATGACTTTTTTTTGCAAAAAAAAAACAAACAAAATTTTGAAAATTTATGGACAAAAACGACCGGTAGAATTACAGTGGATGCGATTGCCGACGCACTGCAGTGGGCCCCTGTCTAAAACCAGGGTGATCTGATCACCGTGCTAAAACCTCCATTCACGCATGCATGCCGAGGTTTTACGAGAAATGCATCGGGCTTATCCCAGCCGCCGATTGTAGCTAAGAATTGGGCATTCGGCGGAGACTGAGAGTGAATGTCGGAAGTGTGAATCGGAAGTACATAATTCATCTTTGCTGCAGTGAGAAGAAGTGTTTTGTTCACTCGAGTGTGAACAAAAAGTTTCTCGTTTTTCGTGTGAAGGGAAGCGCTGCAAACGCGAGCAAAAAAAATTTAACGGGACCAAAAGTTACGCACGGCATAGCGGCAAGGGATCCCTTAGAGATAGGCTTGCGACTTTCAGGCCATTTCAGGCCACTCAGGGTCAGTGTGGACTCTCAGAAGCCTGCTTAGGATCCCGGAGATCGGCGTGGGTCACCCCAAATATTTACGTGTATGTGGTGCTTTAGGGCTTTCCGAGCCCAAGGTGGGCTCGGAAAGCCCTTTAGGGCACACGAGTCTTCAGAAACCTGTGTGGGCGGCGGGCGCTAAGAGACTAGGCCCAGGGTGAGCCTGGAGCCCTCGAATAACAGTGTGAAACGTCGGGGTCTGTGTCGAATCCTTAAGGACCCTACGTAGGTATAGGGACATAAGAAACATGTGTTGCGGCCCTCAGAGGGACACGTGAGTTGTGACCTCAGATCAGGGGCGGATCCAAGGGGGGTCACATGGGTCATGCCCCCCCCTTGGGGCCCAAAGACCTGCCAGGGGCACCACCGGCCTATCAGGGGTATCACAGTCCTGACAGGGGCACCACAGGATCGCCAGGGGCACCACAGGCCTAGCAGGGACACCACGGGCCTGGTGCCCCTGGGCCCTGACAGGACTGTAACGCCCCTGACAAGCCTGAAGTGTCCCCGGCAGGCACGTGGTGCCCCTGACAGGCCTGAGGCGCCCCTGCAAGGCCGGTGGTGCCCCTGGCAGGCCTGTGGTGTCCATGGCAGGCTTGTGGTGCCCTTGCTAGGCCTCTGGTGCCCCTGACAGGCTTGTAATGCCCTGGAAGGACTGTGGTGCCCCTGGGCCCTGACAAGCCTGAGGTGCCCCTGACAGGCCAGTGGTGCCCTTGCTAGGCCTGTGGTGCCCCTGGCAGGCCTCTGGTGCCCCTGACAGGCTTGCGTGCCCTTGGAAGGACTGTGGTCCTGAGGGCCCTGACAAGCCTGAGGTGCCCCTGACAGGCCCGTGGTGCCCTTGTTAGGCCTGTGGTGCCCCTGGCAGGCCTCTGGTGCCCTTGCTAGGCCGCTGGTGCCCCTGGCAGGCCTCTGGTGCCCTTGCTAGGCCGCTGGTACCCCTGCGCCCGGAGAGGACTGGTGCCCCTGAAAAGTCTGAAGTGCCCCTCGGCAGGCCCGTGGTGCCCCTGACAGGCCCAAGGTGCCCCTGCGAGGCCGGTGGTGCCCCTGGCAGACCTCTGGTGCCCCTGGCAGGTCTGTGGTGCCCCTGGCAGGTCTGTGGTGCCCCTGACAGGTCTGTGGCGCCCCTGGCAGACCTGTGTTGACTGGTGCCCCTGCTAGGTCGCTGCAAGATACCTATAAGAAACAGGTAGATCCGATGTTTGAAAGTAAAGCCCCAGTCACAAATTTGACGCACCTGTGACATTTCCTGACACCCACGTGACTATTGTATTAACTTTTGTGTTTTGCGATGTTTTGACCTTATTTAAAGTACTGAAAGCTCAAAATGTATGGTTATTGTTGTTTAAAGCAGCATATTAATAATTATGTTTGTAAATTATCGATAAGCTGCTTATAGCAGGTCACGTGATTGCTACCAGATTATGTGCTCAGAAAGCATCTTTTCAACTTCGATTTTGAACAATTTTTACCTCCTCTGAGGCCAAATGATGGACGGTTTGAGGCACACGATGAAATGCTGAATCTATTGATGCCAAAATTTGTTCGTTTTTTTTTTGCATTTTTAGACTAGTATATCCTGGCTCAAACTTTGACCAGTTTGTGTGTAAACCCTATGGTGAAGGGAAAACTTCACGCCCAGCAGGCGTCATTACAGTGCTGCCAAATCGTGTTTGGTGGGGGTCGGGTCGCTGGTGCCCCTCACAGACCTGTGGTGCCCCTGGGCCTTGACAAGCCTGAGATGCCTGGCTATGACAGGCTCGTGGTGCCCCTGATAGACCAGTGGTGCCCTTGCTAGGCCTGTAGTGCCCCTGGCAGGCCTCTGGTGCCCCTGCTACCCCTGCGCTCGGAGAGGACTATGGTGCCCCTGAAAAGCCTGAAGTGCCTCTCGACAGGCCCGTGGTGCCCCCGGGCCCTGACAGGCCCAAGTTACCCCTGCGAGGTCGGTGGTGCTCCTGGCAACAACAACAACAACAACCATTTATTTAGAGACAAAGTTGTCGACAGTGGTGTTATGGGGAGATGGCACAAAGGCCCACAGCCTATCACTAGGCACCATCCCCCACCCGGTTTGGTCATGTTAGCTTAGTCCTGGCCATTATATCGAGCAGCGACTGAAAGTTATACCGAGCTCCAACCAAGAAAAATCAAACAAGTAAACAAGAAATGAAATGAATACATTAGAACCGTTCAGCACATTTATGAATTATTAGAACCGTTTCGTGTCCAATAGGTATTTTTGGAAAAGGAACGCTACCCTCCGGGAGCAGTTCAATGTGTTAGTGTTAGTGCCGTATATGAGTGTATCGTGTTGTTCAGTAGATGTGAGGTGATTGAAGTTCCTGCCAAGTACAGTTGATATGCTTTGGAAAAGGTTTTGTCTGATTGTCGTGTATAGTGGGCAGTGTATTGTGAAGTGCATAGTAGTTTCTGTTTTGTGACCGCACCGGCAGTGTGGATGAGGATGTTTTTGTATTTTAAATAAGTGTGCGTTTAGCCCCGAGTTCCCTAATCTGAGTTGTGTGTGTAATGTGTTTCCACGTTTACTGCCCATTGTATTAAATTGTGGTGGCCTCTTTGC